ATCATGTGAATGTACCATAATTTCTCAATCCATTCATTTGTGGTTGGACATTTGAGCTGTTTATATGTTCTTGCTATGGTGAATAATGCTGTTAGGAACACTGGTATACAAATCTCTGTGCCTCAGTTCTCATTTTCTCAGGGTATATTCCAAGTAGTGGAATAGCTGGGTCATAATTCAGTATGACACAGCTGAACATAGAAATTCCATATTTTTTCATTTTATACTCTTTTCCTTTATAGCACTTAACACAGTTGGGTTTGGAATAAATCAATGTGAAGATTTATAGTGTTTCTCAGATTTTCACTTTCCCTCACATAATAATTTTCCTAAGGTACCTAAGGAGATCTGATGTCCTAGTGGCAAGATGCTGCCTGCGGTTTGAGGCCACCAGCTGCTCAGAGGGAGAAGGATGGGCAATCTCCTCCCATGTGATTAACTGCCTCTGAAAACCCACTAAAGGGAGGGTTAGCTACAGGTTAGTTCCATTCCAGTTCTGTAGTACACAGAAACAATAACAACAAGGTAGTACCTATTAGGTTGGGTTATTTTTTTAAAAAAGATTAAATTAATATAAAATAAGTAAGTGAATGCAGTTATCCAAGTGTTCTCATATCTTGGAAACATCTTCTTGTTTTGAGGCACTTGTTTAGCACCTACAACAATAAAAGTAAAAATAAAATTTTACAGTAATAAAAGAAAGTAGTACATAGTAAGCCAAGCCTGAACACACATATTAGACACAAGGCAGATTCCTGTCTAAGTATAAATTATCGGTTTTTTCCTCTTCTTGCAATCCAACGCACTTCTATATATGAAGCGAAATGGGAAGAAAATCCAATTTTTTAAAAATTAATTACTCTCTTATTTCTCTAGTTTAAATTACTATCTTTTGTTATGATTTGGAACCACAGCTGTCCCTCCAGCAGATTTTCAGAGGCGTTAAATTGCACAGGAGCATGACCAACTTTCACCTGCAGAGCAGGCAGTAAATTAGAATCTTGTGCATTTGGGTTGATTGTGCAACTCCCTACTACCAGAATTCTCTTTTAGACTTTGTTTTTGTATAATAAAATTGGTAGTTCCCTGGTGGCACAACCATTAGGTGCTTGGCTGCTGAAGTCGCGAGTTGAATCCACCTGGTTTCTCTCCTCCTACCTGGTGATCTGCTTCTGTAAAGATTAGAGTTAAGAAAACCCGATGGAGCAGTTCTACTGTCACGAAGGAGGCAAAATCGATTGAGGACACTTAACAACATCAGGGCAGTCTGGCTGTACTGAAAATCTGAGTTCTGGAGCATCCTTTTCCCATCTCTTTAATGTTTGTCTCCTGATGGTGGATTAGAGGATAGAACGGATTTCTCAAGAGAACCAGGGCAACAAATCAACTGCTCTTCTGTAGGAGACACCGGGTTGGGGTCTGACGTCAACTGCACGCTGGTTTGCAATGCTGCTCGGGCACCTACCCACCTCTGAGGCTGGGGCCAAACTACTTGGAGAAAATTTGAAACACATGTATAAAGCGTCTGGGTCCGGCTGGCAGTGCTTGCCTAAAAGATGAGAGGACCCAGCGGAGGACAGGAAACCCTGGGCCTCTGTATTTGGATACCCTCTGCCCTCGGGCAGCCTTCAGGGAGTGCCAATAGCCTTGATACAGAAATCAAGGCTCAGATTTTATGGCCAATTGAGTACAAGAGATCTTCATTCTTTTTTTTTTATTTTTTTTTAAATTTAGGTTGTTTATTTTTCATTTCAGTGAACATCTACAGAGATTTTGGAATTCCATTCATTCATT